ACAACAGGCTAGGTTAGGTTAGGGGCTGATGCAGTGGTTGAAATTATTAGTATCTTCGGCCATTTTTACAATTTTTTTTTTATCAAAATAAAGACAATATTTACAAACTGTATACAATAAAACAATAGGTAAATGAGCTGAAATAGAAACTAAACAAGACGACGTGAAAGAAGGGAGCTTCCATTAACACTACTTCCAAATAGGAATTTAAATTTTCAGTTAAGGGATTAGTACTTATTTTCCATGAAAAAGTCCATTTTTCATTGAAATTATAATTAATTATATTTCTTATACTTTTCTTATATTATACTATCTTACACGAAAACACATTTTAAGTTACCCGTTGTCATACACCAATGCATTAAATAAGAAATTTATCCAAACCAAAAACAACATTTTTTACATCGACCTAGTTATATTATTTGAAATTTCCAAAGTTAAAACGATTTTCATTGTTATTATATTTCGGGGCCATTTATTTTTTGTCTAAGCCATTAGTATATAAAATGTACAACAATTGTCAGTATTCCGAATTTGGTTTTAAAATTGAATAGACCAAATAATTTGATTTTAAGACTTATAGAAAACATTTCACTACATCGGCTGGAACCGGAAATGCATTGTATCAACTAATGAGTAATGCCTAAACCGTGCAATTTATTTTCGTTTACCGTTTTGTATATTATATGTTATTTAGTGTATATTCAAGTAAGATTTTCTTTCGTTTTTAGCCAAGGCTTTACACTGGGTAGAACAATAATGTCAGACCGAACGCAGTTGTTTTCGGTTGAATAAAAAATAACGAGAAACACATTTTGTAGTCGTTCGTTTTGCTCGTTTACACAACGTAGGAGGAGGAATATTATACGTTTTACAATAATATAATATTTTGTTTTCTTGTATCTTTATACAATTTGGATACACGGCTACGATGAAAATAATAGTTTACTATGATATGTTTTAAAACAACTGAAAATGTTATACTTATACATATAATCTAAATTGATCTCTTATCAATACTATCTTAAAAATAACCAAAAACAGATCCATAATTCAATGTTTTTTTCGTGTAACGGATAAAACTTTTTTTTTTTTTTATTGAAACCCTTGGCCATACTAAAATAGTAATTCTCCTTAAAGATATTTTATTTGGATTGCAATGGGACATAAAATCATACACGGTCAAACTTTTTAAATTTTATGATAAAAACATTAATGTTGTGAGCGGTTGAAAAACCAATAGCTATGAAGACAATAGTTTAAACTTTCCTTCACACTTGTTTAAACAAGTAAACATACTTAAGTACATATTTTGAAAACTGCAAAACAGATTCCGCTTGCTCCGTTTCGGTTGACGATTCACATACAAAACACTTTGCAACGGTTGTTTTAACAAATAGGTTTACAAGAGTTCTACCATACTTTCAAAGATTGCTAGTAAGTTTTTACATTTTTCCTATTTTCTATTTTTTTATTTTTGTATTTAGATAATCGATAAACTTTTAAACGTTTTGCTAATTTCGCAAATAATATATTACAAACATTTTACACCGTTCGATTCATATTGTATAGCATGTCCGAAAATCAGAAATCTAGCTAAAAATGTGCCTCATTTTTTAAGCACTCTGCAAATATCGTTATTTTAAAAATTGTTAAACTAATATTATTTTCTTATGGTAATTAAAATAAAAACACTTGGTAAGCTTCATGTAAAATATCGTTAAGTAAATGTGTTGCGGTCGAACGTGATCGGTTCCCAGGAGTGAGTGGTACCGGGTTCAATTCCGGCTCCCCTCTCAATACTTTTTGCATTTTCTGTAAATTTTTTTACAACTTTTTTCGTCATTTAATAAATGTTTTCGGTTCGAAAAACCCAATGCAATGTAGGTTATCAAGTACTTTAAAGTGTAAAAATGTATTCTGTAGTAAAAAAATATAAATATTTTATAAGGTTTTAGACTTCTTGCAATATAAATTACCAGAAAAGTTGAAAAAAAAAGTTGTAAAAAATGCAAAAAGTGTTGAGAGGGGAGCCGGATTTGAACCCGGTATCACTCATAAGGTAATTTATACGAAACCTGCATACGAAAGGGACTTCGTTCCAAACGCGTGTCCCGCGACACGGACCTGTTTTAAAATACATTTTTGTACAATTATTATTGGCGTGGCCATTTTTCTATATTCAAAAATAGCTTTTTTTTTAATTTGACATTAAATATTTAGGAAAGTATCTTTCAAGTACGATTTCTTACCCGTAGACTAGCTACATAAAGATATCGCTTCAGTAATTAAAAAAAGCTAAATACACATTTAAATCTGAAATCTTCATTACAATAGGCTTTGATATTTATTATTTTTTGCAGATAAAAATTAAAGGTTTTTGTGTTTTATTATTGTTCATCGCTGTAAATGTTTTAGCAGAAAATAATAAACTAGGTAATTATTATTTATTGTATATTCAACTTTACCCTATTGAGATAATTGAAAATCTAAAAAAAAATCAATAATACACTCTTTTACAGCGTTATATAAGAAGCACCTTGTCATCACAAGTCAGTAATTTATTTTATTATACAAATTCAACTTTGGGATTAAATATTTGTAATTAATAATTTCCATTAATTTATTATAGATAGACAAATCCAGAAGTGTTCTATAACCTACACCCTCCCGATATAGTTTTTTTGATAGTACTTTTTAAAACTTAGATGGTTAAATTATCATTAACTTTTAACGATAAATTGATCACTCTGTATGACGTTTATGGGAAGTTGTTTTTGACTAGTGCACTGCGAATTGCAAGATGGTAAACCGATAAACTTTGGCCATCGAACAGCTATTGTCTTACACGAATTGTAAGAGGTCATAATCCACAATATTAAGAATATTACGGATGTCATATTAATCACCCTAATAGGTGATGACATTAGCCACCCCTAACACCCCATATTTTTCTTATAATAGTTTATATATAAACAAGGAAAAGCTACAAGTTCCATTTACAATGTAATATTTTTTATACAAATGCTACAACATTTTTTTTAAATTTAGAAACTACGGTTTGCTATATTTTAACTACTAAATAGTAAGATAAGTTTGGCAAATCTCTAAATACATTTTTTTTTAACTTTTAAGGCGGAAGAATTTATTACAACAACAAGCCGTGGTTGTGTCGATTAAAAGGATTGGTGAAAAGTATAAAAGCTCCAGAAGCAAATATAACAGAAACTAAAGTTGAAGGTTGTTGGTGTCTTCTAACTAATATAGACAAGGTTGTTATGAAAACCAATGCCTATGGGACCATTATTGCTAATTTTACATAAAAATAATTTAGTGTGTTTAATAAACATCACTAATATATAGTGAAAAGTATTCGCATGCTTTTCAGTTATTACTATTTAGAACCAAGAATCTTAGACTTAACTTGCTAAAATGTATACTGTATTATTATTATTATATTAAAACAATTGTTTCAAGCTGCATTTATATCCAAATTTAATGTGTCTTATAATAAACCGTTTTACTTACTACTATAAACTCATTTGTTGATTTTTACCACAATTTTTGGTTTTCAGATGTATCCCTCTTCTGTACTTTTATACAATTGTGTTGGTAATGAACACTGTGTACACTTCAACATTAATTGACCACATGGTCTTGTCGTTCTGCCACAAAGTGACTTGCACCTGTATTGCACATAGTAAAAATTATAAATTTACTTGCTAATTGTAGATGATGTTATTGTCACTCGAGTCATCATTAGAATGCCATTAATAGTGTAATAACATTCCACTAAAACCATAAATGTAAGACAACAATAAAAAATAATATTTAATTAGCAGGAAAATATAATATTGATCGGATAAGTATTACAATTCCGCGCACTACAATTAGTACTCTGCATTCTATAAGTAGGTATAATTTTCAAATGGCTTTTCATAATATTTGCAATTCCTACCTTAACTGCATTCCATCGATACGCGACTATAGAGTTAATTATTCGTTTATTTGAAATGGTTTAAATTGTATTGATTGAGGGCTGAAAAAACGGTTAGGCTTTGCTCTTTTATAACATGTGGACCATAGTGGAAATGATCTTTTACAAGTGTGGAAGAAAGCTTAAACTAGGTCATCACAGATAACCTAAATCAGGGTCTCTGGTTAAAGAGTTCTGTACACGTTAGAAAATAACCGTTCTACTAGTGAAAATTGTAACTAAATGTTTTTACTATACCTATGTATTTTATTATTTCATGAATATTCGGTTAGTAAAAAAAAGACCCACCAATAACAAGTTTTGAACACAATATATTTATGGAGTTATTGGCATTTTGAGAAATAGACTGGAGGAAAACCTATAAAATTGTCGTTATTAATAAAAATTATTTAAGTTTTATCTATGCATTGAGTCCAAAAAAAAAAAAAAAAAAATTGTATCCCTATCTATAAACCAAATTTTATTAACATAGATATTTTGTATTTGAGCTGGGAGTGCCTGCATCACACTGAACGTTACCAAGTACATATTATATAAGGTTAGAGATAATGGAGTAATGATAAGAGATAAAAGGGAGTTAAGAGATAGTCCAGCTGGATGCCGGAGGTGAGCTAAGAGAAAGCCTTATACACGTTTGCTGGATTATTCCAGAAAATGCTCATTAGAGTGTAGAATGGCTAAATTTAGCAATAAATAAATAATGTCGAATAATAATCCAAATTGAGACATAGCGCTTGGACGGATTATATTAATCCAATAAATAGGACGGTTAAAAAAAAAAATACAATTAAAATTCAGGTAAAAAGCAACAAATGAGTTTATAGTCGTAAGTAAAACGGTTTATTATAAGACAGGTACATTAAATTTGGAAATAAATGCAGTTTGGAACAGTTGTTTTAATATAGTAAAAATAACAGTACAGTATAATTTTTAGCAAGTTAACTCTAAGATTATTGGTCTGAATTGTAATAACTGAAAAGCATGCAAATACTTTTACCATATATTAGTGATCTTTATTTCCTAAACCAATTTGGGCCCCTTGCCAGGGATTCTCTTAACAACCTCGTTGATATCAGTTACATAACACCATTCTTCATCAACTTCAGTTTCTGTTATATATTCTTTTGGGGTTTGTATACTTATGAACATTCCTTTCACCCGACACAACTGGCGTCTTGATATGGGGTGCAGATTAAGATCTTAAAAAACGAAAAAGTTTATTTAGAAATTTGCCAAACTTGACTTACTAGTTACTACATATTTTGTGTAAGACATAACTAATAAATGTGATAATTACAACAAACAGTAGTTTGATAATACATTTTTTTTAAAAAACTTAGAGGTTTTTGTATAAAAATAAAACATTATAAATGGAACTTGGAGCTTTTCCGTGTACTTTGTAGTAGATTTTTTATAATATATAAATTATTATAAGAAAAATATGTGCTAGGGGTGACTAAATATTATATATTTACAAGTGACCACTTTAATCAGCACTTATTAGGGTAGTTAATATGAAATCGGTAATTTTTCTTGTTATATTGTTGTGGAATATGTAAATTATTATAATTTTATATAATACTTACTTAAACTAATTGCTGTTTCTTTCAACAAATTGTTTGAGACGTCAATTATTAGTTTTCTTCTCACTTCTCCAAGGTCTGACAACTTACAGTTTTCAAAATCTATACACATTAATAAATAACTGTGTTAATGACAGTTTTTCATACAAATAAAAAAAAATGAATAGCACGTGTTATGAGTGTAGTATATGATAGTTTCAATAAATTGTAATAATATAATTTTTTCATACTCCAAACTTAAATGACATAATATAAGACAGTCAAAAATGTTTCATTAAATTTTTTCAAGGAACGAGAGAAATATTCAAATTGTCTTCGAATTAAGTACTTATAACAATATTTGAATAATAAAAATTCATCAATTTTAGCACTTTTATCATTATTTTACTTTATTATGGAGGACCAAAAAATCTAATAGCACAAACTTGTCTAATATATTTCCATATTAAGTCTCACAATTGAGTCTTAGGGCGAATTACGAATAATAAATTAATGCCTAATTACCTTTTTTTTCAATGTCACGAACAGGATGAATACCTGTAACAGAAATATTAAATAACTAAACAGTTAATAAAATCCCGTTTTATATTTTATCTATAATAATAGTATCTAAAACTGAGTTTGTTTAGACTAATTATTAGGCATTTGAATAATTAAAATTTTTGAATTTGGGTATTTACAAATTATTATACCTACCTAAGACTTTGGTTATCACTTTTTGCAAGTCTTTTTGGTATTTTATGTATTCTAAAATTAAAAACAAAAAAAGTCATTAATTTTATTCTATATCTCTTTTTAAGATAGCTATAAATATGTAAGTGTAAAACAAATCTTGTTTTTTACACATATATATGACGATTTAAAGTATTTTAAATATAAAATTTATAAGAATATAATTACTCCGGAGGTGTTTTAGGTCTGTCGGTACTGGAATAAAAACGAGAAAATTGTATCAAATAACTTGTACATGTAATCACGTCCATGCATTTGTGAAAAATTATTATTACCTGGTGCAGCAAACATAAACACTATTCTCGCTAAAATTTACAATGCAAAAATGGATTAGTTACTGATATAGGAACTTTTGTTTATTGTATTATTTGACCAGGATTAACTTTTACTAAATTGGCTCAAGAGAATTGCATGCGGTCTGTTATTTGACATTTAGACCATAAAGCCAGACAAAATATCGACTACTTAAGATGGTACTTAGGATTCTGTAAAGATGTAACAGAATTTTAATTTTTTATGTAAAACATTAAATTTATTCAATACCTTGAAGCTTACACAAATTAACCAGCAAATTAATTGATATGGTCGGATTTTATAAAAAACCGCATTTTTCTTAAATATTGCCTGAACAAAACTCCTCAAAAATAGGCAACATGAATTAAAAAAAAAAAAAATTATTATATTATATTAAGTAAGAAACCTAATGCGAATGTGGGCAACGGTATGTATATTATTGATTCGGGAGAAATGTGCATGGCTATGTTACATTATTTAAGTTAAAACTATGAAAACAACTCTAAAGTGATGCAAATTTAAAGAACAAAATATAATGATTAGCTTATGGTTAGATATTCGGTGTTAATCTTAAGCCATGATATATCATTGATAAATTTGCGTAGAGATATGTGAATATATGACTTTCCATTAATACAGAGTTTTCTAAGCTTAGATACATTTTTTTTTATTATATTATAATTATAATTACTCATTGATGCATCTCCTTCGATAAGTTTTTTAATTACAGTTTTCATATTCACTGGAACACCAGATTCAGAACTAGAGTTCACCTTCTGGATTTGTCTATCTATAATAAATTAATGAAAATAAGTAAATGCACATATTTAATCGCAAAGTTGAATTTGTATTATAAAATAAATTACTGACTTGTGATGACAAATTGCTTCTTATAAGACGCTGTAAAAAGAGTGAATTATTGCATTTTTTTTTAGATTTTTAATCATCTCAATAGGGTAAAGTTGAAAGTACAATAAATAATATTTACCTAGATTATCTGCTAAAACATTTACAGCGACAAACAATAATAAAACACAAAAACCTTTCATCTTTATCTGCAAAAAATAATAAACATCAAAGCCTATTGTATTGAAGATTTTAGATTAAAATGTATGAACTTTTTTTAATTACTGAAGCGATATCTTTATGTAGCTAGTCTATAGATAGGAAATCGTACTTGAAACTTAAAAGATACCTTATTATTAAATATAGAAAACCGGACACGCCAATAATAATTGTACAAAAATGTAAATAAATATGTACATTTTTTAGGTGTTTTCTTAAATTTAAAGGAGAAGAGGTGATACTTTGTAAACTTTTGGCCCAATAAAGCATCTTTCAGGTACAGTTTCTGATCTATGTATAAAATTGCTAGACAAAGAAATCAGTTAAGCAATTAAGTAAATATCGTGGATCTTGTAAAAAAAAAAAATTTCATTGTAGAAACAATAACTTTTCATCTCCGCATCAAAGTTAAAATCGAATTTTTCATGATTTTACTTTGCTGTATACTTTGTATAATAATTAAATCCCATTTTAATAAAGGGCAGCCAGACACCAAGTTTCATTTACAATATATTATATATTATTATTATTATTAAGGGACAATTAATATTACAACAATTTTTTATTCATTTGTGTTTTTATATGGAAGTACTTTATCAAAATAATGTTAGTTTGACAATTTTTAAAATAATGATATTTGCAGAGCGCTAAAAACATGAAACACATGTTTAGCTCGATTTCTGATTTATGAACATGCTATACGAATCGAACGGTGTACAAATTTTGTAATATATTATTAGTGAAATAAGCTAAACGCTTAAAAGTTTATCGCAAATCTAAATACAAAAAAAAAATAGAAAATAGGGAAAATGTATTAAAACTTACTGGCGATCTTTGAAGTTATGGTAGAACTCTTGTAAACCTTATTGTTAAAACAACCGTTTCAAAGTGTTTTGCATGTAAATCGTCAACCGGAACGGTAAAAACAGAATAAGTTTTGCATTTTGCAAAATATGTACTTAAGTATGTTTACTTGCTTATACAAGTGTGAAAGAAATTTTAAACTAGGTCATCACTCATCATAGTTTTTATCTATAAATTTTGTATTTTTTGGAGTATTTCCTAAGATAGTGTTGATAAGAGATCAATTTAGTTTATAAATATAAGTAAAACTTTTTCAGTTGATTTTAAAACATATCGTATTAAACTATTTTTTTCATCGTAGCCGAGTATCGAAATTTTATCAAAAAACAAAATAATATATTATTGTAAAACTTATATTATTCCTCCTACGCTGGGTAAACGAGCAAAACTAACAACAACAAAATGTTTCTTGTTATTATTTATTCAACCGAAAATAAGTGCGTTTGGTCTGATATTATTCGGTCTACCCATTGTAAAATCTTGGCTAGGTAACGAAAGAAACTCTTATTTGAACGAACACTAAATAACACATAATATTCAAAACGGTAAACTAAAAGAAATTGCACGATTTAAGCATTACTTATTAGTTGATATAATGCATTTCCGGTTCCAGCCGATGTAGTGAAATGTTTTCTATAAGTCTTAAAATATAATTTTTTGGTCTATACGATTTTAAAATCAAAATCTGGAATACTGACAATTGTTCTACAATTTATATACTAATTGCTTAGATAAAAAATAAATGGCCCCAAAATATAATAACAATGAAAATCGTCTTAACTTTGGAAATTTCAAATAATATAACTAGGTCGATGTAAGAAATGTTGTTTATGTTTTGGACAAATTTCTTATTTAGTGCATTTGTGTATGAATAACAGGTAACTGTTTGAACAAGCATACAAAACATCAAATCAAAATATGTTTGCGTCTTACTTCGATAAATAACACAACCTAAAATGTGTTTTCGTGTAAGATAACACAATACTTATTGAGAAAAAAAACGATGATCATGATCAATATGAAAAATTTTTAGGGGCCCTGAGACCAATTGCAGCAATAGTAGATGAAAATAAAATACATTACACTAAAAAACATGTTTGCTTTTCATAATAATTTATAAACATTTTATTATTATAATAACAATAGTTTTATTTAATTTTGTATATTAAATACGTTTTTAAAAGAAGTGTACCAACATTGTTTCAGCGATTTCCCTCTAGTGCCTACAAGGTAGGAAACCTTACTTTCTATATGGCTTCATATTTAAAATTTGCTAATTTCTGCACGTAGTAAACAACACATGGGTATCTACATAGAATTTGTTTAACAAAATAAAATAACTAAAAAAAAGATAAAAAAAAAAAAAAACAATGCCTTGAACATTCAATCTCATGTGTAGACTCTATAGAGCTCTGGATTACGATTTTATTTAAAAAAAAGATAACTTAAATGAAAATAACTAGCTAACAAATTGGGGAAATGTAAAGTTCACAATTTGTTAATCATTTTATAAGAAACTTGTGCAGAAATGATCAGATGTTTTTACATAATATTTGCAATTCCAACATTAACTGCATTCCATAGATATGCGACTATAGAGTTAGTTATTCGTTTATTTGAAATTATTTAAATTGTATTGATTAAGGGCTGAAAAAACGGTTAGGCTTTGCTCTTTTATAACATGTGGACCATAGTGAAAATGATCAAAAAAATATTTATTTTGTTATATTTCATTTTTTCAACTATTTATTTCTACTTCTGATTTTATCGGCTTATTATCTTACTTCTATTATTGTTAAATGTCTATGCGGATGACAGGTTCAATGTTTATATTTAATATATATATGAAAATCCTAATTAATCTTAATAATTATTGTATAAAGATTTAGTGTTAGAGGCAACATAACCTAAATGGAGATCTAAGGTGTGGAGTGACCAAATAAAATAGTGTATAGAATATATTTATGGAAAAAAAATATCCTGACTGGTCAACCACATTGGTATTGGATTGGCTTTAAGACACAATTCAGGGTACAAAAATTAATTCTACATATTTTAAACTGAAAATAATTTTAATTTCAAACATTATTGTGTGCTTAATTCCAAATTTGTAGAATTGTTTATGTGGTGGTGTATTGATTTCGAGAAAAGTTTAGTATGAACTATTACTCATAATATGTTTTTCACATCGGTATGAACTATATGACAGTTAAAAATGTTTCATCAAATTTGTCAAGAAACAAGAAAAATGTTCAAATTATATTCGAATAAAGTACTAATAATATTTTTTTAATAATTTAAACATAATAATAAATCATTCTATTTTTAACACATTTATCATTATTTTACTTAATTATGGGGAATTATGGATAACACCTTTTGGCCCAAACTTGTCCAATACATGTATATACAATTTAGAATATTATTTTTAAGATAATAATAAAAAATGTATAACCATAGAAATATTAAATAATTAAACAGTAAATAAAATCCGGTTTTATATTTTATCTACATATAATTATAGTATCTGAGTAAACCGAGTTTATTCAGACCAATTATTAGGCATTTGAATAATTATTATTTTTGAATTTGGGTATTTAAAAATCATTATATTTACCTAAGACTTCGGATATTACTTTTTGCAAGTCTTTTTGATAATCTATGTATTCTAAAATTTTAACCAAAAAAAGTAATTAATTTGATTCAACTTTTTGTAAAATAGAAATAAATATATAAGTACAAAACAAATCTTGTTTTTTATACATTATGTATATATATATGACAATTTAAAGTAGTCTTAGTATAAAATGTATAAGAATAATTACTGTGTTATTAGAAGTAAGAAAGACAAGACTTTCTATGGTTCAATCGTATACTAATATAAAGTTAGTTACCATTACAGGTTTATAAGTAAAAGTAACTAATTGTTTATTTACAGTAATATTAGAAACGATTAAATTTTAACAAACGAGACACATACAGAAAGTAAGGTTTCCTACCCTGTAGGCACAAGAGGGAAATCGTCGAAGCAACGTTGGTACCCTTGTGGTAAATATGTATTTATCTCTTTGAGGGTTTTAACAAGACTTTTGGTGTGGTATTTTTTATTTGATATGTATATACATAGTAAAAAAAACAAATAAAATGTATATAAATATTAAGTATTATTATTAACATTCTTCCAGTATAATTAATTCACGACTTATCAAAATAAATAAAGACAAAGTAAAAATAATTACAACTATGTCGTATGAGACGATACTATCAATTATAATAATATTATGTTCAATCGACAAAGGGCAAAGAAACTACTATACAAAATAAAAATTGTTTTATAAGTAGGTATACAACTTTTTTTTTTTTTTTGTACTCGAGTCTTAGATAAAACAGAAAATATCGATCCTTTTTCAATACAAATAATAATAATAATATATTTACTACATAAATTCGATAAATATATGTAATTAAAAATGAATGTCATACAAATACTTTAACAGATTAAATTAGTTACATTTAAATAATGTGTTCTGGACAAAACTTTGTCGGTCTGTAACGTTTCACAAACTAGCTTTGTATACTGTACATTTACACATGATAAAATAATATTATATACTACATAAATAGTGAGAACTTATAACGTTTCCGTAAAAATCTTTAGGCAATAATAATAAAGTAAGCGCGTTGCTAAGAAATACATTTGATTAAAATTAAGTAAAAAAAAAAAACCGTGTATATTACAATAATATATTAATCGTATATCATATATGTATTTTTTATAGTTAAATTGGCATTGTTAAGGTAAAATATCGTACACACAGACTATGTGATTTAAATTTACCATCGTACTAGAGACACATACGATTCCAATTGTTTATATACGTCATTGTTTAACTTATAACATTAGTTATACATATATATATATATATTGTATGTAATGATAAAAAAAAAACACAAAACACAAAAGCACATTATTGTAAAGATAACGATCACAGGTCACAGCAGTGGAGTGTTAAGAACTTCTTAGTCTCTTTCTTAGAGTCAAGTAGCTTATGATAAGTACCACAATCAAATAGCCGGCCAACGCCGAGACGTCCGACCAGAATTTGCCGTCGGACATGCCTATTTCCTTGAAAGTGGTCTCCGGAAACCGGTAATGGCAGTACTCTTGGTCGCCCAGGCACGCCAACGGCTCTCGACCGTATCCGTAGATGGACACGACCAGCCCTTCCAGTGCGTATCTCATGAAACTGATGTACGACACGTAGTACAGCACTATCGGCATGTGGTTGAACAGCACCAGGAATCCGGCAAACAGGATGCACAGACAAGTGATGATGGATCCGACGAAGACTCCGTTCTGTGAAAAGCCGAGCAACGACATTAGCGACATTATCTAGTAGCTTTATATATTACTAGCTGCCTGTTAAGAAATACCGGTAATGATAACACGCGGTGGTGATAACAGGCGTGATAACACGTGGTGGTGATAACATGGCCAAAACACCCTTCTAATACCATTGCAACAAAGTGCTCGCAAATTATACCCCTATGTATATTTTTGATTTGCTCAAGTAATAAGTATTAAAATGTTGAATTTACTATAAAATATTATGTAAAATAAACACAACGATATTTAATTAATTATACTTCGAATTTTTCTACTCTGGGCAGGTATATTTATTTAAAAAAAAACGATTACAAAATTATAGCTGCAAAATATATGCGTGGTGTACAATCGTGTTTAATACTTGCCGACTTTGTTTAACTTGTGTTAACAGCGATTGTTTATATAAAATTGTTGCTGGCTCTAATAATTTCAAGTATTTTAACAAATAAACGACCGAATACAAACTATTTATTTATTCGTTAATTATAATTCATGGTAGCCGTGGTATATTTAGTAACCTTGGTATGGCGTGGTAACCGTGGTATGCGAGGAATGTAGGGGAAGCATGTAATGTGGGTTATCAATGAAATGTATGGTAACCATGGAAATGGTACGTGGTATGAGTTCTATCTATGGTGTGGTAACCATGGTAGATGGGGTAACAATTGATAACACACATACTACGATTACCACACATACCATACCTTAAAAAAAAAAATGGTCTTTTGTTTTATCTATTATTGAAGACAAAAAAACAGGTAAAATGTTGATAAGAATTATGACTAAGAGTGACTATACTAAACAAGTTGCTTAGTAAAAATGTAAATACTTTTCAATAGTAAACTAAAGAGGTTGAAACTCACCACTGGACTCATGGCGGTACCCAGTATAAGACCGATTCCTTCGGATATAAGTGTCATCAGTTGGCAGACGAACAGGAACATCAAAAACCGAGTCCACGTCATCAGCTGTGCCGATAAATAGTAAGACACCGACGTATAGATGAAGCAGAACACCATCTAGATATATCACAAAGCATATTACAAGTTATAGCATTTTTGGTCTAATAGATGGCCAAAACGTAAATTTTCGTCATAAACGAGTAAGTCCTCTTAATACAAAAATTAAATCATCCTATATGTAGGTACTGTGAAAAAAATTATATTTACATTTTAAATTTAACAGTTAAAGTAATAAGTTAATAGTTAATTACTACAAAGCAATGTTCTACAAATCATTAATCATTTTGTAAAAGTAATCAGTAGTCATAATTACAATTGTTATCATTAATCATTAATCTTTTTGTAAAAGTGATCAGTAGTCATGTTCACAACTGTAATCATTAACCCTTCCCTGCATTTATGCATCTCTATTTCATCGATAGAGTGCAGTAAACACATAAAAATGGCATATATATTTTTATTATAATATTTGTCTTTAGCCAACAAGTATATTATTTTTTGAAATACAAAAAAACCGAAAATCATTGCTAATAATTTTTAAAATTTTATAATCAATAGTGTTACTTGAAAAAACACGTCGAGTTCATTAGTAATTACTTTTTAATTTTAAATTGACAAAAAAAAAAATGAACTGATATTTAACCCAACAAGGGATATTTTTTTGGAGGGGGGGCTAAATTTTAGTCAAGGGGCTAAGCTCCTCAGCCCCTCCCCCAAGTTGAGCCACTGAGCCTAAGGCGGTTAAAAAAATATAAATAATTTAATGATTACAGTTGAACGAGTTCTGTAATCACGGTTACTTTTTTGATTATGATTACATTAATCTTACATTATGATTACTGATTACAGTTATTAATCATTAATCAGATTACATTTTGCCCAACACTGCTACAGAGTTTTATGTGACGTTTAGGTAAAATAAAATGTTTATTAAAAAACTAATTTTTATAACGTTTAAAAATAAAAAAAAAAATAAAGGTTATTTGTAAACATTATCTATGTACATTTAATCTTATGTATGAGACAAATGGTTTATATAAAAATCTACATTTAAAGTCAATGTCAATTGGCTTTGATAACGATTAAATAACTTTTCAAGTTCTGTTTCAACAATGATAGGACTCACCTGTATGGGCATGTTTGTCACGAGAAACGCTATGAAATAAGTGGGTAGACTGTACCAGTTGTTGAACAGCTCTTTTTTGAGTATGTGAAGCTCTGCGGGGACTGTGCAAAAAACGGTACATTATAATATTATTACAAATTCTCGTCCAAGGGAAATTCGAAAATTTCGCTTACATTTTAAAATGGCCGGCATGATGGAAGTGTAACTCAGGTAGACCAGCGACACGATACAGAATCCAACGTTATTGATGGTCTTGCCGCCGTCGATGCCGGCATTTTCGAACAGTAATCCCAACAGTATGCCCACCAGGAAATGCATACACAGTTTTATGTGTGAAACGGTCTGAGAAAAAAATACAGAAAAAAAAAATAGTACTCGAGTTATTTCAAAACAATGTATGTAAATTGCCAATTTTCTTAGCGCACTCTAGTGGTGAAAAAATCAACTATGGAGTTATTTATCTTGGCCACTGAAAATTATACACCTTTTTAATCCAACCATGCTATTATTCGCAATTTGAAGTTATTCGGTTTAGCATCTGAACACCTCATATTGGACTGTATGTACCTGAACCGTTTATTTTATAGAAATATTATATAAAGCTCTAGTTGTATTGTATATATATATAATTTCCCTCTGTGTAAAGTACCCAAATCTAAGTTCCACAAGTATATCTGTTCTTTTCCTATTACCCACGATGACTTTTTAAACACCGACCAATATCTCCAAAGGTACTTTATAAGGCTAAACGACGTTCATAGCGTCCCTTTTCTTCAAGGTGTATTTCTCCATTATTACCGGTTAATTTTAATGACGCTTAATATTAAATACTATGTAATTGTCGTTAAAAAAAAAATTGTAATTAAATAAGTGTTTATTTAAGTTGTTGAAAAGCAGGAAAATGTGAAATTTAAATAAATCATAAGAAAAATATGGTGCTATTCGCTATAGATATGAACAAATTAAAGTAATTAAATTTTAACGAGTTTTGTTAATTTTTTAAATATTATATTTTTTAGATATTTTTTTCAGCGACGTAATAAAACTGGCAAAACAAAAAAGAGTATTTTATAAAATAAATGAGGCAATTTACATAAAATATGAACGTCAATACAAATTTTAGACAAGATTAAGATAAAAAAAATTGGTAATATACGAATAAATTATTCTAGCTATATAGATGAAGTAGTCAATAAAAATGTATCTTTTATTTATTGTATGGTTATTAACGATCAAGACAAATTTAATGTATAATATATACATAATATAAGCAGTTCAACAGGTTACACTTGGAGCCTACGACCATTTTTATATAATTATAACAGCCACTCGTATGTGTAAGACATTAAAGTGGTGTCAGAGACAAGGAAATTTTATATTGCTTTGTTTTTGATGAAATTGGACGCTGTCGATCGCCTCGGTTTAAAACTTATCTGTATGGAATTTCCTTTTTTTTTTTTTAATACAACCGAGAATGGCAGCAAAAAGCAGCGATACGGTATATTATCTGGCCAAAGTAGATAGTGGGATTAGGTTAGAGGTTGGGTCGCGACCCGAAGGTGAAAAATATATTTAAGGAATTTCAACTACAAACCCAATCTCGGTAGACTTGCATTAACGACCTGTGTATGAGCACCAACAGTTTGTTTAATTCCGTCGGTTGGTTGACCAGCACCAAGGTGGTGGTCAACTTTGTCTTGGATTTCCTTTCCAAAGCCATATCTGCAAAAAAATGGCTCGATCAACAAGTGTTCGCGGTTTACCTAACCGTGTGTACACAAACGACATACTTACCCGAACAAGTTATTTGGCGTGGAGTTCGCCAAGAGTTGTCGGCAGAGGCGATTTTCAGTTGTGACGTGAAGTGTCCGTATTCTCCGGTTACTACTTCCAATACTAATATTTAAAAAAAAAAAAAAATAATAATAGATAAATACAAGTCGTTAGGTACGAATGACCTTCATTAAAGTTTAACACAAGTCTCGGACAATGACAATAGAAACAAAAATATATACATACACTTTTAACTGTAACCGACATAAACTTGGTGCAGGGTGGTGTTATGTGTTTGGTTAGTAGAAGATACATAATATGTACAGTGTTTATAACAAAAAAAAAAAAATTGCAATTTTCCCCAAGGTTAGCGAGTCGGGTTATTGCACTAGATCTTGGAAGGTAACGATTTTAATTTATAGACAGTCTGAGTATAATAAGATTACTGCGGTGACTGCAAGTGTGTTTTACAACAACTCGAAACATACAATTTTTACTACAAACGAGGACGCAGAAAGTTGGACAAAGATTTAAAATAATACATGCTAGTTATTGTAAATATTTAAATTAATAATTGTCAAGTTCAATAAACTATATTATACAATCACTATTGGCGAATTCAATACAAATAACTATTATTCCACACAAAGCACCGTGTAGTCATTGCAATGGCCGTGTGGTTATTTCAAGTGACTGGTACTTGTGCGGTATAAACAAATATTGAAATAATATTATACAGTGACGATGTAAATTACAGGTATTTACAAGGGTAGGTGTGTGTTAACATAAGAGCGAGACGTACAAACAAGACGGCATACAATAAGAGGCCATGCAGTAAGGCCACCAGGAAATCTAAAAGTACAGGCAAGTTCTTTTATTCCCAACATAAAAAAGATAGTAAAATTACCTTTATATATATATATATATATATATATATACAATTACCGTATTGTAAATTTGATACAATGTGATATTATATAGTTATAAAAAAAAAAAATTATCATACAAGTGAGAACTTTTTATTATATTTTCTAAAACGGATAAAAAAAAATATCTATGAAAATATTATTTGATTTTTAGCGGGAAAAAAAATCAACAATATTATATCCAGGTGGTGGGCACTCTCAAAATTTAACACCGTGAATGTACTTATCACTAAAAAAAAACGTGGCGGCCATTTTTTCATTTATTATCAATCAGCCGTTATTGCTATACATTAATTGTGTATAGATTTAATTTTAGAAAAAACGAGAAGATGGCGGTCTCCATCAGAAAATCATTATTTACATCATAAAGTGCCCTCACTGATTTAATATAGTCTGTGATTATATGATAAAAATTTTCCGAAATCATTAGATCATGAATGATATAAATGAATGACATATTGTCTATTTATGTTGTCCACGTGTTATCTCTTATCACTAATCTCTTATCAGCTTATCATCAACTCTTATCATCGATGGTGAAGAAATCGTGACGATCAAAAAATAAATCCAAGAATATTGCCATAAGTCATATATTTCAAAAAAATATATGACGACCACTTAAGCTACCGTGTACAATTCCAAAAAAAAAAAAACAACAAATTCGCCTCGGTCGCTTGTTATGAAGTTTCACTGCATGCATATATGTGTGTATAACTTACGGTTGATTGAGAACATTGTTTTTTTTTTTTTTTTCAATCTGCGGCACAGCTCAAGTGGTATATTGCGCAGTCATTGGGGTTTAGGAGGAGTAAAAGTGTACTGTGTTGTGATGAGATGAGAGAGAACAACGCAGCCGTGGCTCTTTTTTTGGCGTTTTGCATTTGGGATGCACGCGGTTAAAATCAAATTCTAGTGTACTTACTGAAATCGGCCGGGTTGTGGTATTGCGGGCAATTCAGGCCTATCGTTTGCAAGTAAGGTACGGTGTTCAGACTAGAACCTTGGTAGACGCAGTACCCTTCGGCCATGATGTACACGTGGTCGAACATTTCGAATGTGCTGGCGCTGGGCTGATGTATCGTGCACACCACGGTCCTGCCGCCTCTGGCCAATCCCTTAAGTATCGACACACATTGGTGCGAACTCGTGCTGTCCAATCCTCTGGAAAAACAAAAAAAAACCAACTAAATTTAACACAAAAGTCATATCAATCTTTCCGAAAGACATTTTGGATCATCAATATTCTGTGCCCTCCTCCACTACTAATCTCTTATCAGTTATCACTATAATCTCTTATCAGCTGACGTCATCGGTCGTGACCACAGATATACACATATATAATAAAATAGATTGCGAACTAGTGATAACAGTTGAAGTCGACGTCAGCCATTTTGTGGGATTTATGTGTGTCTAAAATAATGTAAGCAATCTTGTTTATTATATATATATATATATATCTGTGGGTAGCATGTACACTCAGCAATCTAGTTATATATACATATATAAATGTAAATCTGTGCTTATCACTATAATCCCTCATCAGCTGACATCACCGGTCGTGACATAAAAGGTGGATAGCGGCACCCCGTTATAGTAATAATCCGATTCACAAAAAGTGTATACTTTGTATTTTAAAAAACACCAACTTTAAAATTAAAGAACAAATAAAGTATATTTCGCCTCTATGAAGTTACAACATCGTTCTTATCTTTATCATATCTCTTATTAACGAGCCCATTTCAATCATCATTCTTATCACTATGTTTTATATGAGATATTTTTAATTAGTTGTGTTTTAAAATAATAATAAAATTAATAATTAGTTTTAATTAACGCCAATTAAAAATTTTAGACAATGATTTGCCATTTTAATTGTCGGCAACGTAGTTTTGAGATAATTTATTTATTTTTAAATATAATTAGTAAAACGTGGCAGGTTTATTGATTCAATTTTCGTGGAAATAATTATGTATTTGGTGTCTTTACGTTGTATCGGTACACACGTGTTGGTTAAAAAGATCATATTTTAACATGTAATTATATGTACATTATATTTGGATAATGCATAATATCCTTTGTATATTAGCATGAAATCCGGTTTGGTTTAACCTTCGGGAATCCAGCAGAATTGTAAAAAACCCAAAACATTATACCGTTTCTATGAATACTCTGATTTAAGTTTTGAAAAAATATTTGAATTCTTCATAAATTAATCAAGGCATAGATCGTGGCATAATTAAAAAAAAATTATTTTTGTTAAAAATATTTCAGTTTAAAAAGGTTAAAAACTGTCGTTTCTTTTACATTGAAATAATAAATTAACTAATAATAATTTTAAAATTGCGCCACCATAGATAACTTGAAAACAGTATGAAGAATTTAAATGTTTTTTCAAAATTTAAATCAGAATATTTTTTAGGTAAATTCGGTTCGAAGTAGAAACATATGTTTTTGTACAAAAATAGATACTATATGCGTTATCCAAGTTGAAAAAAACAATTATTAAATATCAAAATAGATCCTTCTTTCTTGTGGTAATATACTAATGTATATGTTTAAAAATTTTAGATTAATTTCGCTGACCACATTGACAGGTCGTAAACCAGTTTGGAATAATTACTTTCAACATTTTTTCTGATTAAAATTTCGAACGAGAGGAAGAGTGGAGTGCAATTTTATTTTCTCTCTCGTCCTAACTGTAATAACTCAAAACCGGTTATCGAAATTTTCAGCAAATTATTCTCAATTTTAAAATACTAATAAATATAAGACAGTTTGTGTTTTAACAGTTACCCCCTCTAAAAATGTGACCGGAAAAAAATAATTTAATTGATTAAAAAACCAAAAAGATCTTACAAATTGGTCATTTTTTGACATGAATATGTCTTATGGCTGAGGGTCATTCTGAAAACAAAATTAAGAGTATCCACACTTCATGCAGATACTTCAAGTTGTAGGATATATAAGGATTTTAAGGATATAATCTATATAAGATGAGAAATAACAGATAAGGATTATGGAGGATCATTCTAAAAATAAAGTTAATAGTATCCACACTTCATGCAGATACATCAAGTTGCAAGATATATACATGGTGATTCTTTTATCATGGACCATTCAAAAACTCATTGGGTTCAATTAATAATTAAATTGTTTTCCTTCATAGTGATTTTATATAATGTAATCTTAATTTTCCACAAACACTACTAAAAATGTTTACTAGTCCACAACCAGTTTTGGATAACCATTTTTAAAGTTATAAGAGTTTAAAATTTAGGAAGTGCGGGTGGAAAGTGCGCGCAGATAAAAATAATACTACACTCCACCAACTTGATACTTCAATAACTTCAAAAATAGTAATCCAAAACTGGTTATCGACCAGTCAAATTATTTAGCTCATTATTCCCAATTTGAAAAGGTAAGGCAATACATGCGTTACCATTTAAGTTTCGAAAATTGCTTTAAAAAAAAACTAAGTTAAGAGGGGTAAAACAAAATTTTTTTTTGAAAAATTAAGATCCCATTGCATAAAAACACTATGTAAAGAAAAAATGTAATTTCTTATTAAACCCAGTGAGATATTGAGTGGATCACGATAAATTGATCACCTTGTATGTATAAGATTAGAGATAATAGATATGGATTATGGAGGAGTATGAAGAGTCATTCTGAGAATAAAGTTATAAGTATCCACACTACATGCAAATACATCAAGTTGCAGGATATACAAGGATATATTAGGATATATTAAGATATATAAGGGGACATAATGATATATAACGATATATATAAGGAGGTCAAATGAATTTGATATGATTCTTCATGCAGATATCAGGATATATCCATGTATTGATGTGTGAAGTGTGGATACTCTTAACTGAGTTTACTAAGTAACCAAATGTGTTAAACAGTTTCTTCTTTTTTGACATTTTCATGTATTTGCTCTGGCACATAACCGAAAACAGCTGATAAAAATGTTACAAAAGAGCTGTCACGCTGTTGTCTGATAAAAGTGTAAGAGATAAAGGATGGGAATGGGGGTGGTGACGGGGATGTTAAATTGTTTAAACAATTTATTCGGTACTTCAACGAGACGTGACAATGTTCTTTCGTGGCTGCAGACTCGGTTAAATTTTGGTTTGTCGTGGGGAAAATTTGGCAGGTTTTTTTTATTATTTTTTAAAAATATTGTCGGTTAGGCATTGTGCAAGTACTCACGTGGTGGGTTCGTCGAGAAACATGATGGGCGGATTGTCGATAAGTTCAAGGGCGATGGACAAGCGTTTCTTCTGTCCGCCGGACAGTCTACCGCACCTGGTGTGAAGGCTGCCCGATAGCCCGATGCTGTCTAGTATGTCCTCGATCTAATAAAAAACGCACAATGTGAGTTGTTAAAAAACGTGATTACAAAATTGTATATTATTATTATTATTATGTTCTCGCCGCCGCCATTTTGTCGATGTTGTTGTCGAACGAAAAAAAAATGTGATGATTTTCCGTTGTTTATTAACGAAATATGTACATATATGTATATATACGAATTGACCATTAAAGTCGTCGAAGTGCGTAAATATTAAAAAAATATTATTATAATCACCACAGTGGTAATATTGGATAAACGTGACGTCAAAGCGACGACCATCGATCATGGACGACGGTGATTTATTTTTTTTAACAATCATTCGAGTCGTCACGGATTGAAATATATATTTAGATAGAACAAAGAGATAATAATGATTAAAAAACATAAATAAACCGTACACATTCGTTTTGGATTGAAAAATTAACTCGAGGTCAGGTTAAGTTATAGTAAATAATAATAATAACATGTACATGGTGATTCGTTTAGGGCAACACACTCAAAGCCTTAGAACAATTGCAACTTTCTTTTTTGAAAATATTTTTTCTATACATCAAAAAGTTTTAACTGATTTAATTGTTAAAAGTTGCTCCAGTAGCTCTAGTAGAAAAGATAAACAAAGAAAAAATTCCAATGTTGTAAAACGACATGGGCAAAAGTGTTCCAAAAAAGAAAAACTACAAAATTACAATTATTTTAACAGGAAATGAGCGTCTTGATGAATCACACCCTGTATACGATTGAATAAATTATAACATAATTATTATTATAATGTTCATGTGTCACTTTAGTGGTCAACACGGTAAAATATATAAACATTTACAATTATTATTATATTTTTATCGACCGCATTTTAGACGATCAATAACAACAACGTTTTGAAAATATTTCAGATGTTTTTCAGAGGTTTTTAAATTGCCCGTCAAACCGATTTATTTCGCATTAATATGCTAAGATAATTATTCTAATGAAACGCCCAGATGAACTTATCATCTTTGTTAAACGGTATGTTTACTTGGAACGCAAGTATGAATACAAGTAGGTATGTAAATATATTTTTTTAAATTATTCGTTATTAAAATAATTTATCAAAACACCGTCGTCGTCAAAAAAATACAAACGTATTAAATCTTTTTTTAGACTAGCAGAAAAAAAAACACTAGCGACGATATTTCCTGTTTTTCATCTTAGTCATTAAGAAATTATCCAACATCTTACGAATCACAAATAACTGAGAAACGCAAACGTTAAACTCTTTCTTTTTGCTTTGGCATTATTTACTGTTCCCACAACGACATTTTAGTAAAAAAATGGTGACTTAGCCCCTTTCTTGATTAAGAGATTTAATAATATCATTGTTGTTTTAATAGCTGTTGCAAAGCATGTATTTATGTAAAAAAAAAAAAAAAATACACATTTATAAATATCAAAAAATACTCGTTAAATGGTAAAAAAAGCCCAAAGATTTTGACAAAAATATTTGTTCAACAATTATTTTTAATTGTAATTGTAATTAGCATTTGGCCACAATATAAATAAGATTCGTTATAGGTCAGGTTAGCTGTTTGATGTACCTATTAAGTTAAAGTAATTGGTAAACTTTGTACTAGCGCTGTTCGATTGTTATCAATTATTAGCTCTTTGTAATGTAAATTTAAAAAAAAAACCCACTTTCCTATATTTATTTGTATTTTGTTCGTTTGAATTAATAGCGGTATTGCAACACGTATAATGTAAAATGCCTAGAGAGGTTATCATTGAAATATATATTTCAGTAGTGTACTGTTATTAAATAATATTAATCTGTGTGTAAAAATAGGTCAAGAAATCGCAGGTCTCAAAGTTCTTGTTCGATCAAATCAATCAGGCATGTATTAGAAGACTAACCTTGCCGATGGATAAGACATAAACAACACTAATTACCGTGGAATATATATTATAATTAGTGACGATAAAAAAATATATTGGAACTTGCTTAAATTGCCGTTCGTTAGTTATAACTTAACGATGGGAAATTTGCCACTACTACCGTAGTAGTTGTTTTTACATACCTATTATACTATACAGGCTGTAGTTTGTGAAGTATTGGACCTACAGCCTTCTGTTAGGGCTTAAGTGAAAGATGGAGTTGTAAAGTTTTGAATGACTGCCACTAGATGTCTCTGACACTAGATGTTGCAGAGTCGTTACTGAATTACAATGAAGGCTGGCGACACAAACGGGAGAGACATCTAGTGGCAATCATTCGAAGCTTGACAACTTCCTCTTTCATTTAAGCCCTACCAGAGCGCTGTAGGTCCAATACCGTTAGAAACCCCAGCATTCTTTTTGGGACACCCTGTATTATACTTGACATTTACTCACCACCAGTTGTTTGGATTTGTAGGAAAGAGTGTAACCGAGTTTGAGGTCAGCGGCCATCATCATGATTTCCAACACGGTGAACAGCGGACACAGTTGGTCGTCTTGCATGATGTAACAAGATTCTTTTCTGCACATGGCGCCTTCGTTGTCTTTGTTGCCGGAACTGCTGTTGGACACGACATCCTCGTCTATCCGGCAAGTCCTCACGGACCCGTTCACTCCTTTACTCCTATAGGAGGATAAAAAACACTTGTAATAAATAACATATTCTTTGAAAAAAAAATAATAAAAACCAGTACAGTGGGGTAGGGTCATAGCGAGAACCGGTGGCATGTTCTTGGGAGGTGATAAACCACACCCATCCATAAAAATGTACTTAATAAAAAAAATATTTATTACCATTTGTATTATAACAAATAAATGTAAGGCGATCTATAATTTAAAAAAAAAACATGTTTTGATAAAAAGCAATTTTTGAAAAATTATTTTGTCAGTAAAAAACATGGTCGGTGCGCCTTTTTTTTCTGGTCAAAACTTATAAAGGGGTTAAGGGGAAACATTTTTTTTAAATGCCTCAATGTGAAAAGTCCACAGAAAGTATTACAACTGATAACTGATAGAGATAAACCATTCAAAGCGAATAGTAATATCGATTGTAGCGACAACAATGTCCTTTAAATGGTATTTTTAATATTACAATTTATAGCCTGTAGTATAGGACTCCACACTAATCTTTAGATCATGTTGTTGTGAAAACTTAATCTATAGTTAAAAAATAGGATTAAAAAACCAGGAAAACAAACCCGGTAGGAACTTTGCCAAAATGGCCATTCGGTGTCATAAAATATGATTTGACGTTAATACCTACATGTTTTTAAACAATTTTTTTTCTTAAATTAAAAAAAAAAGTGGCTCTGGTGTTTTCCTTGTATCTTACGTATGTATAATATAGGATAATGTCGTCGAGGATACTTTGGGAGAAGTTAATTTTTTTTTTCAACAGACAGCTGTGATAAAAAAAAATACTATGTAATTTAGTTGCAATTTCAATCAGCAAAGAGTATAGATATAAATTATTATGTATTCAAACAACTCCAATTTTTACATAAATAAAAAACACACACACACACCATTAAACAACAGCGCAAAGGGTTAAATTCGATTTGTATAAATGAATCATTTACCAAAAAAAAAAAGAGATCTATTCATTACTTATATCTACAACTCTAATAATAAAACGATGCGCTAACACTTGTGCATTAATGTGTTTCAAAGTAACCCAAGTACGTCTCGGGTGCAAAGTCGAAATTCTAGAATTGTCTAATTGGGACGAATTGCAAACAGCAGTAATAATTATTATTATGCATTGTTCTTAATAAACACATGCTCGTTGTTAGGTAATATGCACACCATTAGATAATCGACTCAAGGTTCTTAAGTTTCGTTACACGAGTTAAAAGGTCGGAGAATCTTAAATGTATAAAAAAAAAATAGAAGGCCGTTAAAAGATAAAAGTTCTGAACATTTTATGATTTATTGTATAAAAGTAAAAATTGAAGTATGGATACTTTAACTTGTGTTTTCTATGAATTTAATTATTAATAACATCCACTCTTTTTTAATAAAACGCGTACAATGTATATATTGAATAAGAGTAAATTATTTTAGGATTTTTTTTTTCAGACCGATGATTGCAGATGTTTGTAACCAGTTTTTTTAATAATCTGCAATATGAGTCAGCATTGTTAAAATACCTACGTCAGCAACGTAATGCGTTTGAATTATTACCGAGTAGATACCATAAAAATAAGGGTTTAAACAATCAATTTTATATTATTATTGTAAACAGCTTAGCGAATGTTTAATGCGGAAATACTAGTCCATGTTGTATACTTGTGAGTTATGGATGTGATAATTTATTTTTAAAATAAAATTATATTTACAAAAAAAACCTGTATCCAGTTGTACTTCAGCCATTGGTAGTTTTACTTGATAAGTAAAAAAAAAATCAGTAAAGTTAAACAAATATGATGACTTACATAATGATAAGGCGCAAACAAATGTTTACCCCTTTTAGGAGAAAAGCTAATGTTTTCTTTTTTTTTTGGGGGGGGGGAGGGTTTGCACCTTTAAAAGCGATGTTTAGAAAAATTACTGAAAATAAGTTAAACCGGTCTAGTGATTAAAAAAGAGAGCAGAATGAGTGGAAAACTTCCTTAAAACAAGCAAAAAAGGTGTTTACTGACAACAATTGTTTTTTCATCAAAAACTGGGGTTTTAAAAACTTTGTAACTTGTTTCATTTTTGGTTTTAAGTACTTCCTTACCTACAACTCTCGGGTTCTCTTGGTTTTATTTGGTAAAACGGTCAAGTCTTTGAAAATAACCCGTGTGATAGACAATATTGTTTAGCAGGGGGATATGTCTGGGTTTGACAAAACAAAACAAAAAATGCCTAATGCATATTACAAAATATTGCATTATTTCAATGTGCCACATTATGTTCATTGCAACAACCGTTGACAATGTATTGGAGTTATTGTACTTTGTTTATTTTCAAAAAGACCCTGAAACGCGGTTGCGCTCGTGGAGAGATCAAAGTTTTAAAAACAATTATCGAACGCGCATTATTTGAAGATGGACCGCATGCACTAATAAAAACTATAATCATAGGTATATTATTACATTAATATGTCAAGGGCTTTTGTTATAATATACAAATTTAGTTCGTGTACCGTCGAATAGGGCTACTACTATACTTATCCCACCTACATATTATAATATAATAACACAGCCTTTATTACAACTCTATTCAATTTACACACACACACACACATCTAGGACGACTTTTGTTTTGTTTTTATTCGAGTGCATGTTTTTCGGTAGATAAGACCAATACATTATTATATAGGTCAATGTTAATAGGTATTGAACGAAAATAATAATAAAAAAAGCCATTAGATCTATTGTTTATAATTAACATAGTCTGTACACATAAATATTTATTTATAAATGTTTAGTGAACTTCAAGTTGTGTAACATAACAAGTTGTTTTTTTCCTTCCGACTAATCAATAACAAGTCTGCTGTATATATTCAGATGACATAATATAATTTTTTTAATGCGTTTTCACAATGTGGACACACCGCATAATTGACATGACTCGGGATTTTTTACCAATCATTATTATTATTCTAATATTATTATGTATTGTATTTACCGTAGACGCGATGAGGTCTACAACGGAAACACCCGCTGATAAAATGTACAACGTGACTTCAAAATCATTTTTCAAAACCCGAGCAGACTTTGGAGTAACCGTCAATTAGTTTGATGAAAACAAATAGCAAAAGAAACGCACCAAACAAATACCAACAGAGGTTAAAATAGTTGAAAAATCCAATAAATTAACCAAAACTTACAAAGTCAAATAAAACAGAATTCACCCAGAACATTTGGAAAAAAAAACAATTTCTTCATATTTAAATTGTCGTTGGCCTTTTATTTTTATGAAAATGGACAAATAACTCGTACCACTTTGAATAGCTATTTTTAATTCATACGAAATATGATATTGTTAAATATACACAAAAATATGCACTTTTCAGGCAAACGTAGTTATAATTAATTTGTGGTAATATTGTTTTAGGTCAATAACGGAGAGATAATTTTCCATGTTAAAATCAAGGTTATCTATAATTACGTTACGATTGAGCGGGCCTGACCTTTCCAAAAAAAAAAAAACGTGTTTACATATTATATATGTTATTGTAAAACACTAGAAAAATCAAAAATTCTCAAACACACTGTAAGTAGGCGTTCATTTTGTGTTTTTTTTTTGTAGCTTTCGATTTTGTTACGATATTACTATGAAAGTATGTTTTCTTAATTATAAATATTTGGTGAAAAAAAATGAAAAACACTAATACTCACTGGAAGCCAGTGAGGATATTGAGCAGTGTTGATTTTCCAGCACCCGAAGGTCCCATGATGGCTGTGAGTTCGCCACAGTTGAATCGACCGGAAATCCCTCTGAGTACATCTTTCTTTTCTGGAATAAAAAACAAACAATAATTATAATTAAAAAAAAAAAAATAGTAATGTTGTACTATGTACATATTTTTTTCGCTTTGTTTATTCCGCTAAAAATGAATTGTTACACATTTGGCTCTGCCAAGAAGAATTTTTTTTTATAAAATATAAATATGTATAATAATTGTTGCAAAAATTGTTTGAAAACCTAAAATTGAAAAACTTTGAATAAAAGTTATTTTGAATTTTTCCAATTTAATCAATTTTCTCGTTCAGTATTGACGGAAAACAACATTACACACTGTACTACTTTTCTACTTGGACATGTTATAGGTAATATTTAATTTTTCAAGACTTATAAATAGTAAAAATGGTTTCTTTGTAAATCTGAATTCAGAAAACCCGAACCCTAAAAAGTGTTTTTCCAAAGGAAGTCAAGTTTACGGTTAAATGTTTATTTCTAAACTTCTCTCACGAAATATGTCGAATTTTTTAAATGTTTTAACACACAAAAAATAAATGAGAAAGTTTTGATTTTTGTTTTGTAAGTTTTTCGACATTTTAATAAGAAAATCGACGCGCTAGAAAAAAAACTGAAGTCAGATTAGATTAGACAAAAGAAACCTATAAAATGTATACATTTTGTTTTTAATTGTCTGAAAGTAACATTGTCAACGCATTGGAAAATTATTGTACCTGCAGATATGATAATTTTTTCTCGGTTAGGTTAGGTTCTCGGTTTAATTTATTTATGTTAAACATTTTAAAGGAATTCACAAATGATTGCTGAAATCATCGTTATCGATTGATCAATGAATGATCGATCCGACTGACCCTCAGAAAGCCGACAGCTATTTAAATATAACATTGTTTATTACACCAACGTGAAATAACATGATTAATCGCACGATTATGGATCACTTTGGTAAGTCGTTGATTTTTAAATAAAAAAAATAACGTGAGCGTTTGTTGTTGACAGTAAAGTGTAAATAATATGTTAATTAATCGTCAGGCACAAAAGTAACACGTGTTTGGAGGGTTATTTGCAACTGAAATCTACAGTTGATCTGTTTAGACTCTAAATAGTAAAAGTTGTGAAGTTCCTCTGGGTTCCAAGTCGCGTTGGAATTGAAGGTAAACGCGAAATTGCCGATCGTCTTGCTTTTGCTACAACATTTTCTTTGCAATTCTCAAATTTTAAGATGTACAATGCCCGCGACCTTCTCTCTAAGCATCGTTCACTTTTACATCACGCATGGCAAACCACCAAATGGTCCTCCTTCCCATCCAGTTGCGCTTCCTGACATAGAAATATATCACCTTCAACATTGCAACTCGCCCATTGTTCTGGTCTCTGACTCAATTCTTCACCTCTTTGTCCTTTGCACCGGACGGAGATGAATTATTGTGATGTTTCACATATTCTTTTCAACTGTCCCTCTCTCCTCCCCAGTCGTAGCCCACTTTTTCCTCTCCTCTCCTCCAGTATTACACTAGTTTTGATGGTACACTTTAATAGACACTAAAATGGGTCATTTATTAACAGACAAATATTATCTATATATTTATAATATACCACTATAATATAACGGTGTAATTATTGTATACTTTTTGGACAACCGGGTGACCCTGTAATACTAACAATCTCGGACCTATTTACCGGCCTGTATAATTTTCGTGAAATCGCATACAACGCATAAAATTTATATAAATTCGAACACGATCAAAAAGGGTCGTTAAAATTAATTGGATTGTTAATAGTGTTTACATTAAAAATAAAAACTTGAACCCTATTATAAGAAATTAAACTGGTAATTTATTTTTTATTAGACAATTTTATTTTTACTTTGCCAAATAAATAATTATGCCTAACCCGGTATACCTAATAATTGTTTAACATGCGACAGCGCATAATATTTGTGCTGTAATTGCGCACTCAGGCGGTATAAGCTATAGAAAAAAACTTAAACAGTTAAAAAAACCTCAAACGCAATTGTTCGTGTGAGTTTTTTGTTGATACAATAAAACATAGGAATTATATAATAACGTAACAAACGTATTATATCCACACACGGATCGCTGTTGATAAATTTTTAGGCTGTAAAATTTAAGTCCTATTACACAGCTTATATTATTCTACAGATTACTATAATCATGTGCTACTTTTCCTAGTTGTTTCTTCACAGTTACTCCGTAACTAGGTTTCTACGTTTTCCCTCTTGAAGTCGTCCTTTCATTATTTTATGTACACTTTTGTCCCGCACCGACCGAACGGTTATATAACGAACGCAGCCAAGTATAATAATATTATATTTATTATGGTAGGAAAATGATCGGCTGTGTTAAAAAGAAACGGGTAGCGTAGAATTTTTTTAAATATAATTCCAACTGAGTGAGTGATTGAGTGACCTTTGATTGTCCCAAACTGGTTTACTCCGATGTGTTAAATATTCAGGAAATCTCTGTACAATAGTGTGTAACATATATTATATTTTTGTACAGCTGATATAAAAGTTGGTTTGCAACAATTTTTCGAATGAGAAAATGGCGAGGTAAATTATTTCATACTCATGCATATTATAAAAACAAAAAAGAATACCTAAAAAATATTCAAAAACACATCTTTGAGCACACAACGTTGTTTAATTTCGTACATGTTTATTTACTTAAAAAAAATATATATATATTAATAAACAAGATGTTGTAATTTAAAAAAAAGTAGTTTATAATCTCGATTAAATAGCTGGTTCTTTAACTATTATGTAAATTACAATATAATATATAACAGGAATAATAATGTCTAAGCCCGTGATTAAGTCCTATCGTTATTATATCTTATAAGATATATTCTATGATGTTTGAAATATCTGTATTAGACATCAATTATGATATTTTTTTTTGTGGTAACACAATGTTAGTATACACAAATGACATAATCATTAAGGCTCGCATTTTACTTCATGTTTTAATTCAATTAACCCAATTTACACAATTGTTTACCACAATTTAGTATATTACCATGAGATAGTAGTAATTTTTTTTTACCTATAATATACTATGCCAATAATGTGATTACGTTATACCTTTTTTATAATTTTATATATAAAAAATCTTATTACAATTATTCCAAAGAGGTCAAAAGTAGAGTAATTTTTTTTAATCGCATAAACACAAATTTTAGAGTAAATCATTTTTAATGCGCATTCATATGAATTTTCTAGTTCATAAACATCCGATCCCTAAATCCTAATCATTATAATAACAGTCCAATAATAAATAGATCATATATTTGTTTTCCATAAATATTTTAGCATAACCTAGAATTAACATCAGACAAAAAACGAATTTGTTAAAAAAAAACCGAGCAATAGACATTAATATTATACGTAAGATGTCGACGACCGCGTTATTCTTTTGAAAAAAAAAAGATTTTTTTTGTTGAAAATAATACACAATTATAATAACAATAGATATAATAATTGTTATTAGGCTGTTGTGTATACTAATATAGATGACTATAATTTAATTGTGTGCTCGTCGGAAAAAAAAAATGATAAAACGACGTCGACTTAATAAAAAATCAAAGTGTGAAGGTTAAAATATGTAATTTACAGTGTTATTAATAGAGCGTTATTACATTTTTATGAGGCAACTATAGTATTTCCGTATGAATTTTGCGTTAAAAACGATACACATAGCTGAAAGATATATCTTATAATATAGAGCTTAGGAAATCATATATAATTCACAAAATACACTGGCCTGATCTTGCCGACCTTGAATTTTTTGTAAGAAAGACCACACTATTACAGCCATTGACGTATTCAACACGAACACACTATAGACATTTATAAAAATACAATATGTGTGTCTATACGACTTTCTCTTTCGTTGATATTTAAAATATGATTATGGCAGAATAATATAATAATAATAATAATACAAAATGTTTAGTAATACTCGAGTTTTCCGTTTCAATTGTCTGTGGTTTCAAACCCGAGGCAACGTTTCGCTATATTTCGAGGGCAGAGATAAAAAAAAAAAAAAACGTTTGTGCATGAATAAAAAAATAATACATTTAGTATAAAAAGTTAGTCGTTGTTTTGTACATGGTATTTCAACATTAAGAAACTTTTACAGCAGTGATGGCTCGCGATCATGGGTAGATTTAAATAATGATTATGGTAGTTATTATAATATACTAGGACCTATTTTTAGAAGTGACTGAATCATCATCTTAAATTATAAAAGCACTTTAATTGTTTAATTATCGTTTTTTGTTTGGACCACTCGGACATTAGAGAGAATGGGTCTTCCCAACTTCCCTTCTCCACCCTCTTCGTCCAACTACCGAGCCTAAGGCCGACTAAAATTGGATAAATTATAAATAATATATGGAATAGCACTTTAGTTTCAATACTATTAGGCCTTCCAAATTGGTATATGATTTGTTTTTTTTGTATTGTTTTGTTCGGAGTTAATTAAATTTAAGAATAAAAATTTACAATTTAATATATTGCCAAGTGATGAATAATAATATGGTTGTTTATACTCGATGATTAACCATTGCTCACTTGAAAAACGTCATACCAAATGGTTTCCGGTAATGAAATTACAAAACTATATTGTTGTTTGTAGGTACTTAAAACGACTGTCAAGTATAAACCTTTTTGTCCGGTCACTATCGACGACGTCATAACAATATATTGACTTAATGACAAGGCACGAGAATTATTCAAATATAATTATTAATTTTGACAATATTGAAAACAAAATCGTTGAATAGCTGATGACCCTTGGCTTGTGATCTGTAAAAAATTATGTCGATTATGACTAAACCGTCGAAAACAAAAACGATTTGCATACAATAGAGGATCAGCAGATCAATTTATTGTAATGTATTCTAGATTCGACAGTGTTGTGACAGCAAACCGATGACAAGCAAGCCATCGTCAATAAAAAAAAAAAAATACTAAACGTGTAAAAAAAAAGGAGTTTCGTAATGGTGTGTTACAGAATTTTGTTTTAACGATGGGTTTAATAAATACAAAACTAATTAGTGGAAAGGGTGGACGCTAGCCGGTAACTACTTGGTCGGGCTTAAAAACGAAACATTCATTTTTTTGTTGGTCGTGTCGTGAGCATTAACAGGTCATACACTATAAAAAAAATAATATATTAAATTATATTATACTACACAAACAGTAGGTCAATGCTGTACAAGGTTATGCCGCGGCGGCGGCATACGGGTGCGATTGTGTAACTATCCTATACACGGCCTATACTGTGTTGTTACCACCGACTCTGGTAGAAAAACAATAAAAAAAAACACCATTATTATTATCATTGCAGTCGTTGTTTACCTTTGTGGAATGTGCCGACGTCCACGGAGAAGACTATATCCTTGAAAGTGATGTCGATGGGGTTGTTTTTGGGCAGGTGCATGAGCACCATGCGATTGGCCGAAGACATTTTTCCAAGGGTTGTGCTGGTGCCGCTTTTTTCGACTTGAGTTTGGCGATCGGTCGTGTACAGAGTTAAGAAGGCCGTACCGGTGGTGGTTTACCGTCGAGTTTCATCTACAACCGCAGAAACGTTACGCTACACAACATAACAACTGAACGGTATTTGAACTGGCTCCAGCACTTGGATATGTACACCCACACACACACACACTCGACGACCCTGGAAAACAAGTAAACGTCAGGGTTGAAAACGATTTTTGTTTGGGGTAAAAATTGCATTCTCCCTACATCCAGTTTGCATAAAACATATATTGAGGGTGAGCTCGCAGGACAATTCGTTAAGGGTACCATTTTTAATAGTTTTTCCTTTTTGGGAGACACTCTAGTTTATGTCACTTATTTCACAATAGCTCCATCGAAACTTAAACGGTTTTGTCGGTAACCAGTTTTGGATAATTACTTATAGTTACTAGTTTCAAAAATTTAAGAGGAGAGATGTAGCGGACTCCACCCTTCCAACGTCCTAAATTTTAAACTTTAAAAGTAATTATTTAAAACTGGTTATCGACCAGTCAACATGTTCGGCGAATTATTATTATTAATTTAAAAATTTAGTTAAGTATACACGTTACCGTTTAAGTTTCATAAGATGATGGCGCTCTGGGAAATAAAATATAAAATAAAAATTGCATCAGTTTTGTTAAGTAATTTAAATATCATAAGATACCTAATTATTTATATGTTTTTGTTACATTACAAAATATTAATTCCATCAATTCGATTACTTTTATTAAAACAAAAAATTAAATGCCTACAACTGTAAAATCGTATAATGTAAACTTCTAGGTAATTACCAACTCTCGTTTTAATTATTGCGTAATAGGTGCGTATGAAAATAATAAGTTAATAATGAAATTAATAATACATAATTAGTATTACACTTATGAAAAAATATACTATTAGTATTTTATATAGTCATTATTTCTGTTGGAAAATATAGTATTTCAAAAAGGTCGTCAGATAATTATATTACCTAGGTATTGCATACCTTACTACCTTCTTCATTCTTCTGCTAATGTTTTTATAACATTGAATGTATAGATCCTGATCATTTTTCAATCTCATTTTTAAAGCAAATGTAACTCGTGTAACCTGACTCACACAGTTCCTATCATATCTGTTCCTTATCAATCTCCGTTCTTATCACTATCATTTTTCTTATCAGTCGATTTGAGCTAGACAAGAGCTGCTGCTGGTTATACACTTTTATTTATTATTGTTTTGAACAAGAACAGACCAAACTGATTGTTTTTCTGTTGATTTTGCTACCGTCCATCCAATTCGTGTAATCGAACCAAGTGGTATTACGAAAATTAATGTGACGTTAGACTGACAGCGATATGTCGAATCGTGCAAATAATAAAAGAAGAAGCCTTGTCCTCGGGCCATCATCGTGGTATAATATAATAGTAATAATATGACGGTGATCATTCCAAGTTGTTTATAGCGAAATACCATATTGGTATCGATAATTATACCGCCTACGGGTTCGGCCGAGCGCGTTGCGTGTAAAAATTATTATTATTATTTTCAAAACGTCAGCGCCGTGTTATTTTTTTATCCCAAGCCAAACCCGTCATCGCCGACCTAGGAGGAAGGGCAGGGGCCGATTGTGATTTATAATATTATATTGAGTTTGCACATTGTAATGGTAAAATTGACGAATGACGATAAATAATAATAATTAAAGCCAAATATTTGTTTAGGACCATAAGAAGATTCTCTTAATCTCGACGACGGACATAAACGTCCGATGAATTATTCATATAAAAATATTATTTCGTTTAAAAGCACTCCGAGATACATTTGACGTCCGCTAACAAGGTTATCGTCCATCGAGGAGTTTTACATTTCTTTTTTTTATAGGCACCATATTTTTCGTTTAATTTACATAATATATAAATCGTTGAAGTGCATTTGCAGTGTCGATAGTGTCGGGTTCAATCTCCTCGATGGTATTTCCTCAAGTAAACATATCATTTAGTACTAAACGTAGTCAAGTGCTAGTTTTGACGATGCATTCTCACAGTTCAAACGGCTATAACAAAAATAATAACGTTCAATAAAGACCAAATGGAATGTACCTATTGGTGTGATAATGGTAATATTCGTTTAGGTGAAAATAGCGCGATTTTCGACAGCCAGTTTTGCTCTAATGAGCTTGAATTTTTAAAATTAACATAATTTACTGTTAATGTTTTAGTTTCATCACAACGACTTAACCGATTTAGAGCCAGACACGGCTTTATTTTTATACGCTGATAAAAAAAAAGCTATGAGATTCGGTTTTTTGCAATTTTTATTTTGCAACTAAGATGGTACTGAAAAACAGATTAAAAAAAAACATTAAAAACGTTTTATGTAAGTATATGTATATTTTATAGCTACATTTTATTTTTTACATAGTTTACAACACAAGATTTTACCACAACATTAAAAATACTTTGTTCTCGCTAAATCTAAACTGGTATTGCAATGTTGTGAAACAAGTCAAATTTTCAAAAAAATAACTGCTCAAAAACGGGTTTTGGATATTTTTCAGTGAACAGTTGACGATGTTTTATGCAAATAAACATTTTCAAAGATAAAAGCGATAAAAAAAGGAACTATTAACTGATATTCATCAGTCAAAACTAGTGGACGTTATTGTAATGAAAATTGTTATTAGTATAATTGAACAGCATAATAAATCAACGTAAAACTGTTATAGCATAAATAAGGAATGTCATTCTAGACTGACCGTTGATTGTGTGTGTATGGGCTATGGCAATCATCAGTCATCAATCAAAATGTCAATCCATATGATAGTCATTCCTTGAGCGATAGTGTATGGTCCACTTTATATAAGTTTTGAAATAAAACAAAAACCGTTGTTCAATTGTTTTTGAATGGGAGTTTGAAGTCATTACAATGAGCCAAAAAGCCAGCTGAAAACAGTATCGTCGTTTATCATTCAAGAACCAGGGACTGAACACTCTCAAAGTTTAACACTAAAAAACGTGAAGGCCATCTTCTCATTTAATGTCATTTCTATACACTAGTTGTGTATGGATAACGTTAGGACAAACGATAAAGATGGCGGCCTCCATCAGAAAATCGTTGTTTCCATTAAGGAGAATGTAAAGTACCAAATTTTATACAAATGAAGACTCAAACGAGAAGTCATGACTAACAGGTCGATTTTTTAGCGTTTTCCTATAACAAATTGAACGGAAGCTTAATAAAAAAATTGGCCCTTAACAAATAGTCCTTTCCGTTCCACTCAAGACGCGTCCTCTCTGATTTAACCTGGTAGAACCTTGTGGAAACAATGACGGTGGCGCCAAAAACGACCGGGTACAAACACATTGGCAAAGTCGTTTTCCATTCGCAAAAAACATAAAAAATGATACTTTACATGTAAAAAAAAAAAAACACATAAAAGTTAAGCAACACCGACGTTAATGTTTCTGTAGCGTCCGTTTAGGACTGGTTTCACCGGCGGTGAGGCTGAGAGAGCATGTGCGTGTACCTATATTATTATACCTACCTACCTACCTACCTACACGAATGTGTCGACACGGCAGCCGTTGTGCCAATCTCCACCGGGTGTTGCCCAACACCACCGACACACATCTCTTTCGAGTCTGTCCGGGGCACCGACAGACACAATCCCCCAGCACCATCATCGTGTGTTATTTATCATTTGCGAAACGACCCGGTCATACTTAGGTATAATATACGTTGACGGGCGATCCATTTTGTTGATGATTAGCAACAATTGATGTTAATTGATGTGCCCTACTACTCGACCGTGGTGGTATACCGTGTTAGGTACACCAATTATTGCACTTGTGTTGATCCGAAAAAAAAATATATGTACAATATTATCATGTCTCGCGCTGTGTGTTGTGCAAGTACACCTAAGCACAGATCGGGTTTATTTACAGTAATTATTAACAGACTGCAGTTGTATTGTCACACTGCGGATCTCCATAACGATTCGGTGACATGGTGTTTATTTTTATTTTTAAACCGACCATATTATAGAATATATTTTTTCCTTCGCGCGCTATCGTGAAAACGAGATGTGAAGTGAGAAAAAAAAATAACCACCGCGTGTTTGCCGGTCAACAACAAATACCGGCTATAAAACATTATAATATTATTATTATCATCATCATCATCATCAACTTTACGACGTTGCCCGACAACGGTATTACAAAATATTCACTAAAACGCGGCTGGTACACACGCAATTGTAAAAAAAAATTCCTGCACGCCAAAAACAACAGAACGAATAAATTATTCATATTATTAAGATTGTGACCGATAAGAATTTCTGTACCCACAGCGACCATATAATTAATGTTCATAAACTCGTTTTGAAGTGGGATCACGGCGGAATCTTATCAACTTGTGTAGTTTTCCGTATAAAACCAACAAACCACTGTTTTGCTAAGATATGTAACAAAAAGTACTGTCGATAATTATAGCATTGAATATATTTTTTTAAATTTAAATCCGGCGTTTAAGTCTCCAGAGCCAATGTCTCATTTCTGGTCAAAAAAAAAACTAGTCGGGCCGATATAATAGCACCACTAGAATCGCATTTTAAATCCACCACTTCATATGTTACTTTATTGATCATATAATAGAAACAAGGGAACTAATTAAACTTATACCTTTGTCTGGCTATCTATAAAACAACCTCTGTAACTAATAGAATAGATGGAATAATATCAATAGAAAACATTAATTTCTATTGAGCATTGTATATAACGCGGACCCTTACTGTGTTAATTGCACACACACACACACAAGCTTCTGTAAATATGCATTGAATCTAATTTATTAACTAATTACAATTCGAGATTACATAATATCAGATTATTATGTACTTATAAATGCGTATTATTAAAATACTTTTTTAAACATACTATTTAGAGGAATAATTGTAGTTAAGAATAAATTCAACACTAAAATAATCACTTCTTAGATTTAAATTAGCAATAAAACAATAAACGATTATTCCAAGGTTTTTTAAAAAAAAAAAATTAAAATGAAAAATTGTGTTCTAATGAATTAATATAATTTGAACATTCATATTTAGTGATTAGTTGGCAAGTTCGCACGTAAATAATTAGCTGATTGAATAATTAAAAACAAATTTCAAAGTCC